TAAATACCAAATAGTTTCTCTGTTGTGAGAAACTGAAAGAGTAAATAAGGACTAAAATGTATAATAGATAATGTGAAATAGGAAGAAAGGGGCCAAAGGGGAAAGGGAAGTTGGAGGGGTAGGGGAGAGGAAAGAAGGGAATGGAATTAATATGAGAAAATGAAAAAATGGAAACAAAGTCTTTGTAAATAGGGAAGAATGGAGGGGTTGAAGGAAGGGCAGGTGAAGGGGGAAAAAATAAGAACTAAGAGAGATTATGTAAAGGTGCAAATTTCCAACAATGAATGTCACATTGTATACCTAATGTGTAGCAATAAAATAAAATTTTTTAAAAACCTAATTGGTTGGTTAATATTTATAAAATCTAGTTTATAAAATAAGACCTATTTTTATGGTTTGTATTTTTGCTGTAATTAGGCAAATAGCTAAATTAAAAATAGAAAATCTAATATTGACCATAAAACCTTATGTGTTTCAACCTTAGAATGTTTCAGTGTTTTAGCACTTTAAAAGTCTGATTGATTTAAGAAAACAAGGGGATCCACATCAGATAGTGAAATATATTAATCCTAAAGAGGTAAGAATATTTTTTGATGACATATCTTAGTCTTCTTTAAAAATGTGTGCCTAGTTTTGCTGTGAAGGCTAGCCTGAACTACATAGCAAGACCCTGTTTGAAAAAACAAAGAAAAAAATCCAAACAAACAAACACAAGTAACCCATAAAAAAGAAGTAAGAAAAAGATAAACCCAAAGAAAGTAAAAGGAAAAAAATAGTGGGCAACCCATTTGGGACCCCTCCTATCTCTCAGGACCTCTTCTTATTCCACATTCCTATTTTGCATTCCTATTCCCCAGTAAATTTTCCTACACTTAAAAAAATACTGTCACTACAATCAGAAATCAGGAAATAAAAAGTAAAAACAGAGAGACAAAGCCAGCTGGTACTTTGAATAGGTGAATAAAACTACTAGCACAACTGATATATCTGAATGCTCTGTAAGTCCAGGAAGAAATGCTCAATAAAAATTAAAACTTCAATGAGCTACCACTGTAACCTTACCAGAATGGCCAAAATTAAGAGGATTGATAATACCAAGTATTCATAAAGATGTGGAACAACCAGAACCCTCATATAGTGGTGGGTAGTGAGTTGGTAGAAGAACTTGAAAATTCTTTGGTAGCTGCTACTACAGCTAATTATAGATTTTATTAGTTAATTTTCTCTCATTTCTGAGACAAAACACCCAGCACCCAAAGTTAAAAGGGGAATTATTTAGCTCACAGTTTGTAGAGGTTTCAGACCATAATCGCCTGGCTCAAGGCAGAGGGGCATCCCAGAGGAGAAACAATTCATGGTGCCCACATAGTAGCAAAAGCAACAAGGGACCTTAACAGCATCTTTCTGACCCTTTTATCTTATCCAGACTACTTAGCATTCACACCCTTAATCTTAGTGCCCTTGAGCCTAGCATTGCAGTAAATCACACTCTAGATTCAGCCACCTCTGAAAAAGCCCCACCTACGACTGCATGAGGCTTTGGGAGACATCTAGACACAAGCCATAACATACATACACCCTCGTGCCATGAGTTGATTATGTCCTCCCAAAGTTCATAAATTGGCAACTTAATCCCCAAATTCATATCTTGATAGCATTTGGGGTGGGGCCTTTGACATGTAATTAGTGTTAAATGAAATCATAAAGGTGGCATCCCCATGATGAGATTAGTGGCTATATAAAAAGAAGAGAGACCCAAACTTGCTCTCTCACCACATTAGCTTCCTATCTTGCAGCAGAAAGCCCTTCAACAGATGCTGGACTTCCCAGCCTCCATAACTACATGAAAGCCCAGTTCTTTGTAAATAACCCAGTCCTGGGTATTCTGTTATAACAACAGGAAGTGGAAGTGACCAGAGATACCCATGACCTCTCATATTCCATTCCTTGTATATAACTAAGAGAAATGTACAGAAAATCTACCAGAAGATGTGAACAAGAATGTTCATTGCTGTTTTATTAGACATAACTCAAAACTAGAGTTATAGAAAATAATCCAAAAATAATTGAGTTGAAAAATAGAGGTATATTATGAGTGATACAAGATGGCAATGAAAAAGAACTGCTACCATATTCAACTCGATGGGTGAAACTTATAGATTGACCACAGATTCAAGTTGAGTAGAAAGCCAAGCACAAAAGAATATATATTGTGTAATTCTTTTGTATGAAGTTTGAAGCTGGAAAAATTAATTTTTTCCCACCATTAAGTTTATTGGTACATTTTAGGTATAAAATACATTTATATACATCATTGGGATCTTGTACCATTACATGAGTATCTTGGCTCTTATTTTTTTTTCCCCTTCCCCTGCCCTCCC